AAGCGGAAAGGGTGCGAGTTCGATTCTAGATCATGGAGGTGACTCGGCCCATTATGCCTCCAGGGTTTATTTCTAAAGAAAAACAAATACGATGTATCTTCTTTGGTTCTTTCGGTAAAGTCACGTAGAATGAGAATAAAATAAAAATTTAATAAAATAAAATAACACAATAAAATTCTCACGTTTCGGCCACAACACAAGTGGCCTTCATCAGGTGAAGGGACCTGATGAAGGCCACTTGTGTTGTGGCCGAAACGTCGTGATAATTTTATTGTGTTATTTTATTTATTAATTTATTATTTTATTCTCATTCTACGTGACCTTACCGAAAGAACCAAAGAGGATGAATCCTTGCAGTCACGAAAGCTTTAAATCGAAATTTAAGTACGATGTAGTGGAAAGACATTAGCGGTTAGCATTAGGAATTTCCAGCAGTGGCTCCCCATAGCCAGACACGTAGCTTACCAGCGAGACACAACGGTAGCGGCGGTGTGAGTGTCCCCTTGCTTCAGGCGTATCGTTTGGTGCTGTATTTAAAACCAGTGCGATGACCGCAGCCTAATTAATAAAGCTACATCGCCACAAGGCAAAGACCACCAGGACATTTTCAACAAAGTGTTGAAAGATACTGCACGTATCTTTTTTTTTGTAAAAAAAAGATTAATTGAAGGGAAAATGATAATTAAAAGGGGCGCTCTTGGGGAATTTGTAAGCACGGTTTTATGTACCAGAGCACACCCGTGCCTGCAAGCTGCACATTTATCAGGCTCTGGAAGAGTCGCAATAACCTTTTGTGTTGTGCGAAATGAGTAACAATTGTGCCTCTAATAATACGCCAACGCTAATGTGGCTTAAATCTTCATCGGCAGTGAGCATGTGCATTAATTCAGAGTGTAGATACGCCAGCACTCAGGATAATTAATTTATGTTTATGTAAAGCTGTCCGATGCAAAACGCCGCTCTAATTTTATCCACTGATTTAAGGATGAAAACGAAAAAAAGCAATTTGACCGTGCACGCTATTGGGATAACGGACGTTATTGAATTTCGTTTCATAATGTTAATCCCATTCGCATTGTTCCATTTAATTTAGTCAGGTAAAGAAAACGCAAAGCAGAGCAATGCAGCTCCACTCTCTACGGCACGATTAATGGCCACGATGTAGCGCGCGTGTGTCCACTGAATGTGAACGGCTATCTGAGCACACCAGTCAGGCCGCGTGGGGCTGTCCATCACAATGGATTGTTGCGGGATTACATCCCAGTTGGGAGTCAACGCAGCCTATCATCCTTGCACGGCCAGTAAAATAAGGACCACTCGTAATTAGAATTTAAAATATTACCCCCAGGAAAGGCGCAACGAGTATTTAGACTTTTTTTTAGGAAATTCCTACATTGGGATATATGGCCGATGTTGTGAATGTTTGGCGGTCTTAAATGGCATTGATATTGGGAGGAAATCAACAGTGGTCATTTGATGAATGGCCGACCTCCGTAGGAATGTGGAATGTCCACTACTTGCACTTGATACCACGAGCGTTCCCACTTTGGTAAAAAAAAAACTTAGCAAATATTCTCAACCACATGTAGAACGCAGCAATATAATTGGTATTGAGTCATTTATTAAAATACAATTTAACATTCTGATTTCGACATACATAATTTAGTAAATATTAAATATATAATCGAACCATAACCTCTGTATAGTGATCCAGTGGTTGAGCAATATCCAGTTTATTTTAATGAGCCGCATGAAAATAACCAAACTTAAATTTGAATGAGTGTCTTCTCGTTTTTTACAATTTCAGCGGACGGACCAAACGATGATCCATGGGCTGTACGATGTGGTAGCTGTCACGAATCCACGTGGCCTAAAATAACTTCAGCGGCTGAGGCTTCCCGAACCTGTGGGTCATGACCTACATGAGAATTGTGATTGAACATGCACGTGTACTTAAATTAACACAGTACCGTGTTTGCAAATAGTGTTGCCTGTCACATAGTCACAGCTACAAAAGTTTTCAATATAGAAGAATTACTCTTCGATGCTTATAAAACCAATTCACAAGGTCATGCTTTCCATAAAAATGCAATTTCTTACTAAGTTTGAGCATGCCAGATTTTTTCTACAGATAAGTTACTAAATAAACTACGTATTTTTTAAGGTCAGGGTTTAATGCCTCAAACTAAATTTGAAGCATAGAGGCGTTTCTTTACAAGGACCTACTACTGTTAAAATCATTACAATGGTTTACCAAGAGTGAAACTAGGACAGTGAAAGTGATCTGACATAACATTAAAGTTAAATAAAGTGTATGCAGTATAATGGTATCGTGTTACGAGATACTCGACACACTTCCACTTTCACCATTCTTTTAAACTTTTGCTATGGAACGAAATAATTGCTGTCAACACTTATTAGGCTGACATACTATGATTTGTCTAAAAATAATCTGCCCGAACCTATACAGTGAGGGAAGAAGGTATTTGATCCCCTGCTGATTTTGTACGTTTGCTCACTGACAAAGAAATGACCAGTCTATAATTTTAATGGTAGGTTTATTTGAACAGAATAACAACAAAATCCGGAAAAACGCATGTCAAAAATGTTATAAATTGATTTGCATTTTAATGAGGGAAATAAGTATTTGACCCCCTCTCAATCAGAAAGATTTCTGGCTCCCAGGTGTCTTTTCTACAGGTAACGAGCTGAGATTAGGAGCACACTCTTAAAGGGAGTGCTCCTAATCAAACCTGGTGGCCAACTACAAAAAACGTCTGACCTCTGTGATTGCCAACAAGGGTTTTTCCACCAAGTACTAAGTCATTTTGCAGAGGGGTCAAATACTTATTTCCCTCATTAAAATGCAAATCAATTTATAACATTTTTGACATGCGTTTTTCTGGATTTTGTTGTTATTCTGTCTCTCACTGTTCAAATAAACCTACCATTAAAATTATAGACTGATCATTTCTTCGTCAGTGGGCAAACGTACAAAATCAGCAGGGGATCAAATACTTTTTTCCCTCACTGTATATGCCACAGGTAATTTATAACTTAACATTGATTTACGTGCAATATATGAACCTTATGGCGGGACCCCGGGGCCCCGAATAAACGGAAGTCAAAATCGCAATAAATTAATTCATTTTTGGCGACTCCGTCCCACCGCGCGCATAAACTCCGCGACCCACTTGGCGCGGATCATTCTGTTGTCATGTTGTCCAAGCGCAGCGAGGACGAATGTGCAGAAGAGCTGAACAGGCGAATGCGCTCCACGCTCGGGTATGGGCAGGATCATAACAAGTCTTATCCAAAGCTGCTCAAACTGTCTACACGACTTAAGTCCTTTATTTGTCATAACGGTATGCGTACTACAGTGAAACTGCTCTCTTATCTTCATTATTTGTGACCTACCAATGTCTGCAGCCACAGGATCAATCGATGACAATCCTATTACCTGCAGATATTTAACAGATGAGATGCGTTTCACCGTTAATTCCTCCTGCTTGATAATACTTCTCTTGTCCGTATGCATCTGTGCAGATAGGTTGTTTTTGCGGTTAAGCCATAGTCCCCACATACCGCTGGTATCAATGCGGATAAGAGGAGCGGCGACCCACTACTCTGTAGAGTAACATCGGTATAAACGCTTGTTACAATATGAACAGCGCATTGAAAACGCGTACTATTTCATGTACTATTTAGGAAGTGTGTGCACAAATCCACACTGAGAAACACGATGATTGACATAGGGGTGTAAATTATTTTTCGATAGTGCATTTAAATAGAGGTACTGCAGGTAAGTAGTTTTCAGTTTTAAAGGCATAGTTTAACAACACAACACTTGTCACCATCCTTCAAACCCATTGGTGAAAAAGAGCAACGTTTTTTAAAAATATTTTTGGTTCTTTCGGTAAAGTCACGTAGAAGAGAAATAATTGGTTTTATTTTTTATTTTATTATTTACCTTCTACGTGGTGACTTTACCTAAAGAACCAAGAATACGAATCCCTGCAGTCACGAAAGCTTTAAATCGAAAAGCAAAGTTTTTGTTTACATTATAAAATAATGTTTATGCGAGAGCCGGGGGCTTATGGGACCCCGGGGTCCCGCCATAAGGTTCACATTTCATTGTAATGTGAACCTTAAATGTAATGATTACATTTCTCATGTGACAAAGTAGTTTTTGCACCGATTTCTCTTTGCTACGTTGCTGTATTTCATTGTTCTTGTTTCTCTCATGTCATTTTGGTAATCCAGGTCACTCTTGCAAATGAAACGCTATCCTCATTTGTTGAGTCTCACCTGGCCAAACAGAAAAATGGTGGCACTGATTTCCAATAATGGGTCACGTTGATGCAGTGGTGAATACAGGGTGCTTAAAAAAAAGTAACACTTCTGATAATTTGCAACAATGCCACTGCCTCCGGGCTCTGGAGACCACCTGGAGAGATTCCAGGCCACGTGTTGACAATGATGGCGAACAAATGGAGAATAACTTTGTGAAGCTATTAACATAGATTTGTTATCATGTTACAGTGTATTATAACGTTTTTTTCCATTGCTTGGATAACTGTGGTAATTCTAGAGCGAATACATGTAAGCCATGCATGTCTGCGTGCAAACGGATGAAGAGATGTAAGACTGAATCTATGTTTGACATTTAGTCGCATCAGCACTCAGATAGATATCTAATGGAAGACAAACTTATATATATGCTATTCAACCAGCATACTGCAGGTCAAAACACCTTTCAGCTTTTTCATCTCGCTGCTCAACTTTCGAATTCCCTCCCATCGTCTCTTTTCCCAAGTACTTATAACCCTGCTCAATTCTTACCTCGTACACTGTAAATCTTTTATCGCACTATTTCTTTCTGGCTGCTTGTAATCTTGGGCCTGTGCTCAGCAGTGGTGGCTTACATTAAAACAATTTTTTTTTTACAATTTAGTCTTTTTTTAGGCCACCGCGCTCAGCCTCCCCCCACTCCACGGGCAATGGACCTCATCGTGTCCCTGAAAACGGGCAAGGCCAGGCAGCATCCGCAGCGCCTCGTGTACACCGGCGCCCTCCTGCTTCTGCTGGGCGGCTGCCTGCTCGCCGCCCGCACCGTCTACAGCGGCCTGCTGGGCCTGGGCCGCCTCGGCTACCGGCGCTACGCGCAGCACGCCGAGTCCGGCCCCAGCTCGCGCTGCGACGCCGCCGCGTGCCAGCTGCCCGCGTGCCTCTGCAGCGGCGCGGCGGTGCCGGGCGGCCTCGACGCCCGCCTCGTGCCGCAGGCCGTGGCGCTCGGCGTTCAGGGCGTCGTGGACGAGGCGACGTACGTCGGCGTGCGGGCGCTGCTCGCCAACCGCTCCACGCCCTCCGGCTGCCCGGCGCGCGCCACCTTCTTCGTGTCGCACGTTCAGCCCGCGGCTCCGGACGTCGGCGACGCTTCGCCGGGTGGCGGCGGGGCTGCCGGGAAGCTTCGGTGCACCAACTACTTCAGGGTGCAGCTGCTGCGCTCGCAGGGCCACGAGATCGCGGCGAGCGGGCTGACGTACCGGCTGCCTCCGCGCTGGTGGTCGGCCAACGCCACCTACATGGACTGGGTGGAGGAAGCGGCGGGGGTGCGCGAGACCCTGCGCGCGTTCGCCAGCATCCTCGAGAGCGACGTGGTTGGATTCCGCGCGCCGTTTCTCGAGCAAGGTCTCGCATTCATCGGAGGCAGTGGCTAACAAAACGAAAAGACCAGGCGTGGACTCAGAAAAGAATAATAATGCAGGAAAGTGTTGAAACTATGTGGGGGTTTTTTTTTAATTGTGTGTGGAAAAACAAGCGATGCACGCGAGGGTTTACCAGTGAATAAAGATAAACACCATAGTTGGGTCGAGAAGTATGTGGCACGCTTGTGGCTGTTGTCACCTTTTACTCGGGGAGTCATTGTGATGGACCTCCGAATGTGACAGAAAATTTGCAGCTGCATGGGAGCCTCCAGTGAATCTGAATAAAACATCAAAACTTACATTTTATGGATCTCCCATCTTAAATGAGCAAGGGCCACTTCTCATCGTCATTAGTGGCTCAGGCTTGGTGGTGGAAATTCCATATTCCTATGACGAGGCCAATCTCTCCGTACAATGACCACTGTTGAATGCTTACAAAGTTGCACTCATGATTATATTGACAGTGGAGGTCATCATTTAAACTGTTGGTACAGCAGTATTATCGTCTATGGATATTGGGAAGCCATATTTAGTCTCAAGACTCACTTGTAGATGTTTTAGCAGTTTTCTTCATGCAGATTTTGCACGTAAAGTACTTTTAAATACATCTACCCAAAAAAATCCCACGTAATTTAACCCAAAATACCAATGCGGGTCAGTAACCTGCAGGGCGGTAACCGTACAGCACGATTGAAGATGTATTACACCTTCAATCGTGCTTTTTTGCTGTTTGTTGCTGGCCACTTCGAATTTTTGGTTCTTTAGGCAAATGTGCTCCACCAAACCTCCATCGCGAACGCACGTGTTGCTTTCAGGCATGAGAAAATGCGCCCGGTGTGGTATCTGCAGTCCATTCAAGCCATCACTGCACCGGTGTGTTATCTTCTAAAGCCCACATTTAACCAATGTGCCATTGTTTTCTCCGTCCCCTCGTCCCGCTCGCGACCAAAAAGGTGGCGACACTCAATTCCAGGCGCTGTACGATCTCAACTTCAAGTACGAGGCGTCGCTGACGGCGTCTCGCGACTCCACCAGCAGGGACCCGCCGCTGTGGCCCTACACGCTGGACTTCCGCAGCACGCAGGACTGCGGCGCCCACCTCTGCCCCGTCAACAGCTTCCCGGGCCTCTGGGTGCTCCCGCAGCCCGAGTACGGGGCCATCAACGGGCGGCCGGTGTTCCACATCAGCGAGAGGCTTCGCGCGGGGCACGGCCAGGTCTACCGGCTGCTGATGCGCAGCTTCCACCGCCACTACAACCTCAACCGGGCGCCCTTCGTCGTGTCCCTCTCCTCCTCGTGCTTCTCGGGCACGGGCCGGGCGGTCGCGGTGCTGCGCGAGGTGGAGCAGTTCCTGGACCACCTCGCCGCCTACAAGGACGTGTACCTCGTGCCCGTCTCCAAGGTGATCGCGTGGCTAAGCAGGCCCACGATGCTGGAGGACATCGCGCACTTCCCTCCGTGGCGGTGCCGCGACGGCGGGGCGCTGCCGCCCGCCTGCTCCGAGGGGGACGTCACCGTCTGCTACTACGACGAGGCCAACGCGCTCATCTCCGGGCTCATGCCCGTGTTCGCCAACGCCAACATTTTCAAGAAGCTCGTCTCCTGCGTGACGCCGTGCCCGCCCTTCTTCCCCTGGTTTGGGAATCCCAATGGACAGTGAGCGAGGCCCCCTAATCAAGCTTGCGATGGAAGTGCCTGCTCTCCACCGAACTCATCTCAGTTGGTGGGCCCCAAGCCAATGCTGAGGAGTATTGTGCATTGCAATGCTGGTGATGGTTGTTGGGGTTGTGGCCACTTCCTCCCGAGGATAACCAGGCACGAATCCCCAAATGTTAGTAGTTTAAGAAGTACGTACCCTTGTGTCATAAGACTCCTGCTTCATAACACAGCAGGAGCTGTCCACCTCTGTTAAGCTCATCTCCCTTGTTATTTTCCAAAAAGTAACATTTTTCCCAATTAGGCACAGATGAGAGAAATAATGCATAATTTAACAAACAAGACACTTTGGATTATGCTTGTCTTTTTTGAGTGTTTTCTGTCATTTTACTTTCTGGGGTAATGCCAAAAAAAGTATATAATGTAAAAAACGAAATGGAAATTTAGAAACAGCTGGTTACTTGATGGGGCCTCAAAACGCACGAGAATTAACGTGTCTCTGGGTCACAGGGCCAATATCATCTCTCACTCGATTGAGTTCCACGTTTGCCAAATAAACGTTGGTGCATTGAGATGGGGAGCTTGAAACCTCACGTAAATATACAATCCCAACAAAACTGTTGTATAAATCTGCGTTGCTACGAGGGACTTGTCCTCTGCAAAACCCGCACCAAGTGATGTGAGCTGCCGGCCGAGGCTTACGCGCCCCCCCCCCCCCCCCCGGGCAGGGCCGCTATGCGAGCGCGTGGTCTCAGCGCGGCCTGACTCCTGTGCGCCTCCCGTAGGGCGCTACCGGTGCTGCTAATGATGACCGTAAATACTCTGGAGGACAAACGTGCGTCTTGTACAGCGTTAAAGAGCTCGTGCACGTCTGCCTGAATTTACTTCCTGGCTTTAATGGCACCAAGAAAATGTTTACCGACTTCAAAGCAGGTGTGCTTCCCCCACGTTTGCATAAGTTTGGTTATTTTAGTCAAAGTCAGCGGTGCCAAACAAACTGCATTGTGCCATCCGGTCTGCCCTTTCGTCTGTTTGTTCATTAGTCATTTGCCCTCATACAGGCATTGAATTCCCACTGGAGGTCATTCAGAGGAATGTTGGCAATCATATGGTCAGTGTGTTCACAACGGAGCCACGTTGCTTAGGGATGACATTTATGTCTGGCGAAATATCAAAGGCACACAATTGATACTGAAGGCAATGTAACATGCATTGCAAAAAAATATCCCTTGTATATCTGTGGTATAACTCAAAACATATTCGGGAAAATAACTTCCATTATAATATCCAGCAGGCTGGAGCTGCAATTGGAGTGCACGCCTCTCAATCAGAATGTTATGAATATCAGAATCAGAATATATTGTTACTGGGGGAATCTGATGAGCTATGAAGCTCTTTTTCACAGATGTCCAGTAGAATCAGTTAATCTAATTATCATCGTCATCCTCCTCAGGTTGATAAAAAAAATGAGTACCATTCTGCAGGAGATCAATCGTATTTGTCTTATTAGGCCATTGGCCAAAGTGAACAAATAAAAGTGCGGTCGCACATTTGGTGAGACAGCCAGTCGTTTTGTGTGTGTGTTTTTAAATGTCCCTATGTTTCTATGTCCCGGTACACGATATTTAATTATGTAGATTTTAATGAGAGATTTGAAATATTCCAGTTCAGTCGTCTGTCCGTAGGAGTCCCCGGTGACCAATTACAGCCAATTAATGAAGGCGGCTCGCGAGATGCTGTGTGCAGTTTGCTATAGGCGATTCTGGTTTTGCTGAACAAAAGGCTGAACAGCTCGACTTGCTAAGCGGCTCGCAACATACAGCACTGTTGAAGTGATAATAAGTAAAAGTTGGTACGTTTCTTGAATTGAGCAAGGTGCGAAGAACTTGAGAAGTAACATGATACCCTTTGGTTATTTCGGTAAAGTCACGTAGATAAAAAAATTAAAAATAAAATAAAACAAAAATGAAAACAACAAAATTAAATCACGACGTTTCGGATGCAACACAAGCTTCAGGAAGCTTCAGGAAGCTTGTGTTGCCTCTGAAACGTCGTGATTGAATTTAGTTGTTTTCATTTTTGTTTTTACCTACTTGACTTTACCGAAAGAACCAAAGAGTATGGATCCTTGCAGTCACGAAAACTTCAAATATATAAGTGACACGTTGGAAGGAAGTTCACTGCAAAGTCGATCCGTGCGAGCGATGAAGCAGTCTGGTGGTTGAACGCCGTGCCGCTGGGACGATACAGCCAGTCTCGTAGACCCGAGTCCTCAATATCGGTGGAGGGAAGCAATGAGTGACGTTCACTTGAACAGTAGCCATGGTAGTAGCGATAGAAGAGTGATACGGGGGTGACCGGCCACCGGTGAGTGAGTGGCTGGAGTGCATCGGTGAGTGCGAGGTCAGCTCCTGGATTGTCACATGTCTCGTCGCATTATCCGAAGGCTTCAAAGCAATGGATTCAACTGTGAGATGAGCTCCGTCACGTGCCGTCGAACCACATCGATGAAGCACTCGCACTGCGTCAAGAGTTCAGCTTCTCTTGCAATTAGAGCAGCGACTTGCGGCGCGTTCATACACGGCCATGCCGCTTTGCTGCATTCGTAGACTATCTTCGAAATAAACAAAGACCTTAGTCTGTATGTCTCAAAAACATCGAGGGTAAGTCCCGTCAAGGTTACTGACATTTGGTACATAGGCAGCTTTTGGGACACAAACAACATGCCACATCTGAAAATCCGAAAATGTTCATTTTAAGGCCCTCAAATCTCGATTTTAAGTGCCCCATAAACATGTTTGTGCGTGGTGTCATTCAGAAACCGTTCAAATGATAAGATTGCGAGGTTTTTTCGTTTGATAGAGCGTTAAACAGCAACTAAAATTAAAGCGAGAACCATTATATCTTTTTTGGTATTTGAGATATTTCGGATGAAAGCGGTTTTGAACGAAAAAATATACATTTTATGATGTTCAAATCTGAATAATTATAATCAGTAAAAGATAGATGCTTCCCCTCAGAGTATAAAGTTCATTCATTTTTGTTATTTCTAATACAAAAGAACGGAATCTTTAAATTGAGTGGTTTATGATGGGTACGTCTTTAAATTTAAGAAGTTTAAGTAAGTTGTCAGCAATTTTAGTTTTTTTTTAACGGAAAAATACACATTCTGGAAGAAAAATTGTTATAAAAAAATCATAGGTTAATTATTATTTTATTGAAAACTTTTGCCTGGCGAAGACAAGCTTCATGAACTAGTTTTAAACATTTATGTATCCGTTTAACAACATGAATTGGAGCAATATATTCGGCGGTCCAGGTGGGGTCACTATGCGGTGCAGGTAAGGTCATCACGACAGCATCTCTGCATAAAACAGAACATCAGGTGAGAGGAGTTTCATTCCATAGTCATCACAATGAGACAAGTTTGTTCTCATTTGCAATGAAAGGGCAAATCAAATGGAAAGTACAACGATTGAATTCTGTAACTCGAACAGATTTATAAACCATGTCAGCGTCATCAATAATTGGCAAGAGAGTGGAAGGAACAAATTGTGCATGAGCAGCTAATGAGAAAAATGATTTATTTCTGTAGAAGAACCCTAATTCATTACGAAGTTGTGTAAATGCGTACCTACTTTTGAATGAGAATCATGCAAGATACCCAGGTTGTCGGCATCATGAGCCATGCTATATCCACTGCTGGATATTGAAATATTTCCCAGGTACGGGTCATTATTGACCACGCTAGTCAGTGCAGGTTGTTGAAGGCGGGGAGCATAGACGTGGGAGTGTATGAGTACAAAACACAAATGGGTTTTGTGACAAAACGTAGCCTATGACCAAACCATACGCCTGTGTGTTCATAAATTCTGGTCCTCGTTGATGCCCTTCACTGGACGGCAGGCAGGATGGTATGAAACGCTTTATAACTTTTTCTGCCTTTTAGTAAGTGCTCATAGCCTATGACTAAATCACCTGAAATTCTCCCGATCTCATCACATTTAAAAAAAAGCTCGGCAGGCTTGAGCCTGGATAGTGCGTGGATGCGTAACCATCGTGCATAGAAGGTTGTTGTTTGTTGTTGTGCGATGCGGGTCTCCCGCGTGAATGCAAGGAGGTGTTTGCGTGGGTAAACATCAGCTCGGGGAAGAGGGGGGCATTTAACTGCATTGCTGATACTCGAAACGCATGTTGAATCTAAATGTGGAGGGAATACCCGGAGTAGCTGGAGAAAAATCCGCGCTACCACGGGGAGAGAGAGAGACATGCAAACTCCAAAAATACAGCAGGCGTCAGGGTCGGGATGCACCAGGCGAGGTAGTTCACTTTAGACAGGCACAAAACATCTGTTTTCATTCGCATTCCGCGTCTCCAGACTGGACAATATTAAGTCTGTGAGCCGGTCTTGAGACCACGCGCTAGAAATCGGGCTTGGAAGCGCGCCTCGTAAATGCGGCGATGTGATCAGAGGAGATTCGCCCTCTGGCCATGGTCGTCGGGGGGTGATTCGGGCCGACAAGCTGGCCGATAGCTCGAGGCGTCGTTAGCTGGCTTCCCAAGCTTCTCGCGGGCGGGTTACCTTCGCCTCACTCCACATTCGGCGAGATGTCGCAGGTGGAGTGCCCCATCGTTTCGGAAAGTAGGCCAACACGACCCCTTGTTTGTTTGTTGTTTGTTTGGGTTCCGATTTAAAAAAAAAAGACTCGAGGAAAATGCCATCTGGTCCCCTGCCGCTTTCCGTGATTTTTGTGGCCGATAAGCGAACCTCAATCGTGTGAAATTTCCTGCTGCGTTCCCTACGCATTTGCTGACTTACTTGTACCACCGAAGTAATACGTGTACCACATACACGAGCGATGTAGCCAAACGCCCGAAGGGTTTTCCATGATTCCCAAATGAAACATTTATTTTCACTTGATTGGGATTCTGACAGTTAAAACGACACCAGCATCGCATTCGTTTGGGTGACGATGCGAGAGCCTGAAATTGAAAGGAGTGGGGAAGAATCGAATGCTCTCAAAGAATAATCACAAAAAAAGATCTTACTGGCCATTACCGCTGGAGGCTCCATCCAGACGGTTCCTGGAGGGGCGGTTGCAGTGATCGCCACAGGACGGCGCACGTCAGCAACTCCCCATAGACAACAAAGACAAAGATCCCCCGTATAGCCTGTAACAGACTGTTGGGGCAAGTGCTGTTAGCGAGTAGCACCTATGAAGGCCGACACGGCACACGAGGGCGTCGGTGGCCAGCACCACGCCCGACCGCCTTTGTCTCCCTAGTGACGATGTTCACCCATCGCACCAGGTGCTCATTTGAGGTTGAGTCGACCTAGGGGAGGCCACCAGGACTGCTTCAAATAATCGTCACCGCTCCCCGCATTGACAACACCGGATGTACAACGCGAACTTGTGTTCATTATTAACGTCACATTGCCCTAAGCCAGGGGTGTCCAAACTTTTTTTTCCCGAGGGCCACATACATAAAAATATACGAAGGACTGGGCCACTCACTTGACGTGAGGTATACTGCCTCACTTCTCATGCACTAATATTGGCAAAATCAATCAAATGCAGGTAAATTACGTTTGATAATTGAACATGTTTGAAGAATAAAAGCCTCCATCATAGCTCTCCATTAGTTTATTTTCATTTTATTTTTTACAAAAAGGTTGGCAGGTCATTCTCTCAGTGACAGCCTCAGATTGGTTCTTAGGGTGCTGATCCCCCTTCATTGTCCTGTATGAAGGGAGAGACAAGAAGAGAAATAGGGGATGTGGATATTTCAAGCTTATTTCACAAATAAATTATTGGGCTTGTTAACACACCAACTTACGTTTGTTAAAAAAATTGTCATCAACTTTAATTGACTGAATTTATTAAGTAATTGGGCTTATTAACAAATGAAAACGGTGTGTATATTTTTAACTCACCTGTAATGGGAAGAATGTTACACTCAGTGGGAGCAGTGATGCTGCGCTTTGGTCTGAAGGATTGCTGGCAGGTCAGGAGTCAGTTTGGTGGTTGAGATGCGAAGGACGTCACGGAGATGGCTGTCGGTCGTTCTGGTTCTCAGCCTGCTTTTGTTCAGCGTTAACAGAGAGAATGTCTGCTCACAGATGTATGTTGAGCCGAACAGACTCATCATTCGTTTTGCGTGGCGTCTCATCAGAGGAAACTTGGCCTTTTCCAAGCTCCGGTAGAAGTCAGGTAGGGAGAGAAGCTGATGCTGATTCTTCAGAGAATCATCACACTTAATTTAGATCAGTTATAATTGCAAACTCTCCTCCACTTCTTTTGCATCCATTGAAAACGGAGCCGCGAACAGTGTGATTTCCTTCTCAATGACAGAAAAATCTTGGAAGCGCTGACTGAATTCTGTCATGAGAGATGTGATCGCAGATACATATTCTCCCATTTTTGCAGAGAACTTGGCATTTGGAAATGCGCATTTGATTTCGGTCATTGTGGGGAAGTGTGCTACATTGAAGTTGCACAGTTGTAACTCGAAGAGACGGAGCTTTGCACGGAATGCTTTCATGTGCGCATACAGCTGTGGT